TCAGGCCGCCATGCCCAGCCCTGCCTCGAAGCTTCTTGGTGTAGCTCYCCCCGGCTGGGGACTCCTTGCTGCAGCGCCCACCAAGGTGATGAAGATGGCTGCCACCATAGCCAGGTAAGTACCCCTGGCGCTCCTCCCTCTTCCTCCTTCCTTCCTCCTCCTTCCTCCCTCTCGTCCTTCTTCTTCCTCCCCAGCAGCGCAGCTCCAACCCAGCGCTGCCCCTCCAGCGCTCCACCAGTGTGTCGCCAAACTTGCACACCGAAAAAGAGGCCGGGTCTTCCGCCCGGCCGGAATATATAGCGGCCTGCTTTGCCTCTTGGGCGGTGACTTCCAGGCCGCTGGCCTTCCCAAGCAACCGGTACCTCTTCCTCCTTTTGGAGGGAACATCATTGCAGACTCTGATATTGTCCCTACAGGCCCTAGACTCAGACTGGTACCCGCTAGACCTAGCCTACACTACCGGCCTCTAAAAATGCCACTTTTGGCTTCTTCTGCTCGGCCTCCGGTACCTGCATATTTACCCCCCTGCCAGGTGCGGTACCGGCCTACCCGCTACTTGAGTGCTTTTTCCCTGCTGCAACCCTTCGAAGTCACGGCCACAGGTAAGTACCGGCCCTGAGGGCCCAACGAACGAACAAGTGCCCTGGCGGGCCACACACAAACACACTCATACCAACCAGCACTCAGACAGGCATGGTCACACACGCAAGCCAACCAGCACTCAGACAGACATGCAGTCCAGCAAGCACACACACACACAGACTTAGCAGGCGGGGAACTCAGTAGGGCATTCAGTCTATGAGCAAAACTCAGAAATCAGCGGTGTGTTTCAGTCCGTGTTCGGACGGGTTATCACACTACCCCCCCCCTCAAGAGCGAGGTCCCTTCAAGCGAGTAACTCATTCTGAGTCCTCGGTAAACGCATCATAGGCGAGCAAGGCAAAGAGATTCCTGGAATACTCTGTTGCAGAGAGCCTTGCTGAGATCTTTGGTGTGGCATTAGCGGCGATCTGTCGCTCGTAAGCTTTAACAACGCGCGGTGCGCTGCGTAGCAGTTCCTGTTTGGAGATCCAGTAGAGATCATCTAACGGGTGATACATGAAATGAACCTGGTAATGTCGATTTCTCCCTTTACCTACATGCTGTTTGATTCTATCTATCTCATGCCCGCCCTTGATTGCGCGAGGGATCATATCTTCGCGGTAATCGAATGTCTCGGCGTCACGATGTAGATTCAGTTTAGATGCATGAAACACGGGATACGTGCGCAGGTGAGCTGGCACGTCGACAACATACGAAGGGCCAAAGCGATCTTCCCTAATTACATCCAAAACTTCCCAAGGCCCGTAGTAGAGTGGGAGGAGTTTGCGTGAGACTCCCTCCTCCTCTGAGAATTCAGACATCTTTACCCAGACATAACTTCGTACCTGAATCTCCGATGGTTTGCGCTTCTTGTTCGCATGGTGAATCATGGCATGCTGTCGCTTGGTCATGGCTGCAACAGCAACTTTGAGCAAGCGATCATACTTAGCCCTGAAGTCGGGCCTGCCGGGTGTTAAACCAGCTGGCTGTTCAGCGAATAAGTAGGAGAGCGGATTACGGATCTACCACCCGTAATGCATCCTGTTAGGTGTCGTTGCGGTGGCAGAATGGACGGAGTTGTTGTACAACCCCTTGACAGAATACAGCTCCTCATCCCATGTTTCCTGATCAGGAATGATCAACGCATGGAGTAGTTGGAATACAGTCTGGTTGATCTCCTCAGCCAAACCATTGGCTTCGGGGTGTCGGCCAGATGTCATGCACAGTTTGATTCCAAGGTGGGACGTGAACTCCTTCCATTCAGTGCTAATGAAACGCGGGTCCCGATCGCTCACAAGAGTCTTCGGGGTTCCAAATTGCAACAGGTATTTCTGCTGGAATTCACGAATCACTAGATCTGTTGGGGCGTGAGGCGGTAAAGGAATTAGATTGAGAAACTTTGAAAACCGGTCAACAATCACCATAACTTGTGAAAACCCGTTCTTGCTTACCTTACCCATGTCAGTGAAATCCATAGAGACGGATTCCCCCGGACCATCAGGAATGGGTAGGGGTGTGAGTAACCCCATGGACTTTTGTCTACATGGTTTGATTCGTTGACAGACTTGACATTCAGCTATAAATTTCTCAGCAGTCCCTTTCATACCAGGCCAATCAAACTATCTCAGCAAATTAGCGTACGTTTTAGCCATGCCGAAGTGCCCGCTCCGGCCATGAGCCAAGTCCAAAAGTGTGTGCGGAGAGGCTCATGGTTGGGTACACACAAACGGTCATGGTTCCCGTATCAACGAAAAATCAGTCCTCCATACTCGTGGAAATCAGGCTGACTACTAGGATCAGCCCGCAGTTGCTCAAGGATGGAACTAAGTTCCGGATCCTTGGCTGTCTGCTCTACGAGTTCCTCCTTCAGTTTCTTCCGGAGGTCGTAGGATTTCACAAGGCAAGTCATGTACTCAGGGTGGCGAGACAACGCGTCAGCGACTCGATTGTAACAGCCCTTTTTATGTCTCAATCCAAAATCGAAGATGTCAATCTCATGAAACCAGCGAAGTAAGGTAGGGGACAGAGTAGTCTGCATTTTGATCCACTTCAAGGTCTCATGATCTGAGAACACTTTGAAGTGGCGTCCCAAAAGGTAATGTTTCCAGTGATCCAATGCCACGTAAAGCTCGCACATGTAGGTGGAAGTGGCTACCTTTACGCTGGGCATGCGTTTGCTGTAGTACTCGAGTGCCCGCAGGCCATCACCGTCATCTTGTTGCAGCACCGCACCGATCCCATACCGACTTGCATCCGTAGTAACTACGAAGGTCAGTTTGGGGTCTGCAATGCGGAGTACCGGATAACTTACCAAGGATTCCTTGAGAGTTCGAAACGCTTCCGTACACGCGGCATCCCAGGAATAAGACACATTCTTGCTGGTTAGTCGCGACAATGAATGAGCAATGATAGAAAAACGGGGTACAAACTTCCGATAGTACGACGTGAGACCAAGAAAAGAACGCAATTCACGAATGTTCACAGGCTGAGGCCAATCGCGTATGACCTCAATCTTGGTTGCCTCAGGCTCTAGGCCTGCAGCAGACAACCGGTGCCCAAGATAGATGACGCTATCCCTCCCAAACTCGGATTTCTCCAAGTTGAGATGGAGCTGCGTCTTCTTGAGGATGGCAAGTACCTCCTCAAAATGCTTGAGGTGTTCCTCCATGGACTTGCTGAAAATCAGGATATCGTCCAGGTACACTACCACGAACCGGCCAATCTGTTCGCGGAGGACCTTGTCCATGAGGCTTTGGAACGTGGCTGGTGCGTTCGTAAGACCGAAGGGCATTACGGTAAACTCATAAAGCCCATCGCGCGTCTTGAACGCAGTCTTGTGCTGGTCCGCCGGATCGACTTCAATCTGGTGGTAGCCAGACTTGAGATCGATCTTGGAGAAGACCTTGCACCCGCCCGCAGCATCAAGCAAGTCATCTATACGAGGCAATGGGTAAGCATTCTTTCTTGTGATGCGGTTTAGACCGCAATAGTCAATACACATGCGGAGTTTGTCTCCTTTCTTTGGCACAAACAACACCGGAGCACCAAATTCAGGTTCACTTGGTTTGATCCACCCTTTGTCAATCATCTCATCGATCTGTCGCCGAAGTTCCTCCAACTCGCCGGGTCCCATACGGTACACGCAGCCCTTTGGAGGAACAGCACCCTCGACCAACTCGATGGTGTGTCGAACCGGTCGCGTGGGGACTCCACGTGGCTCGGCCAAGATTTTCGAAAACCGATCGAGGAGGGCTTGGATGTCTGATGGGACAGGTGGGGGTGGGGAATCAACAAAGGGATCACCAAAGTCCGGTCGCAAGTCGCGTATGGAGACGACCGAATCTGAAGTAGGATCATTTGGACTAGTAGCGGGTAGAGTGCTAGTAGTAGAAGTACTAGAAGTAGGATCATCATCCAAAGTAGTAGTGGTACTAGCCGCAAAAGTAGAAGGCACATGAGCAGGACGAACAAAGGCAACATGCATTTGTTCTTCCTTCTTGTGCTTGCGCCACTTCTTGCAAAATTTTAATGCATTTAGAAAAGTCACTCGGGATTCGTGCTTCTCATCCAAGAGGACAGGAAGCTCGTTCCCCTGAGCATCTTTGACCATGAAGAGTGATTCCTTCCACTTGGTCCATTCGCATTGGGACTGCAGCCAGCCCAAGCCAAGGATAGCGTCGAAGGGGCACTTGTCAAGGACAAAGAAGTTCAGTGCATGGGTGACAGTCTTACCTTTGTCAAAGGTAGTGCGCACACCTTTGACTGCATGTGTAGAAGAGACAACTTCTTTGTTGCCAACTTGGGTCCGGCAAGGGTTATGCAGGGCCACTTGCTTCATCCCCAAGCCCACCTTGCATATCCCATGTGGTGACATGAAATTAGCTGTAGCACCACAATCAACTAACACACAGAGATAGCGGTGGTTGATGAGAAGTTTAAAGAAGATTAACTTCACCGTCCCTTGGGCCCGCTGCTGTTTCATTTCAGCCCAATGCTCCAAGTGGTAGTGGAAGTCAATCATCTCAGACTCCTCCCAAGGCTCGTCATACAATACGTTACTTACCGCAGCCTTGTCTTCAGCAGATGGTTGGGCTTCAAGGGAGGGCTGCTGATTTTCATCAGATCCTAACTCCCCTGTTGAATCTGACTCTACGCCCGGTTCTGGTTTCCCTGCAACCTATAACAGTCTTGGACCTTGTGATTTGGCTTTTGGCAATGCAGGCAAACCCCCTTCTTSAGTYTGYCSYGCCAGTCATTCTCARTGATCCGAAGGTCAACCCAYGGTTTGGTAGATGCATCCTCCGGTTTAGGCGGGATCTTAACTCCTTTGGGGAGTTGGACATAACTCTTTCCGGCACTCCGATTCGGTCCCTTAGTGTTGGCAGTCTTTTTAAAGGCAGAAAAATTTTCTTCTTCGTTATTTGCGTCGGACTCATGGGCTGAAGAACAAGCTGTATCGRAGTCCTGTTCTTGGYCGTCACCAAGAGTGGGGTCAACCGCATCGGCTTCTCCTTCGGCCTTCAGCAGGTCATGCACAGCAAAACGGTTGCTGCCCTTGAACCGTCTGCTGCCCATGGGCTTTTTGCTGCCTGCCGTGCTAACGAGGTCCATGGCCTCCAGACTGACTACATCCTTCATTAAGGCAAGCCAGTCAGTATAAGCAATGTAGTCCCTGCCCAGGCGACTAGTGAAGTTAGTTGGAACCGCGCCCTTGACCACACCTAAGCAAGATTGAGTGGACAATTCCAAMCCAGGAGTGRCAAACARCTTGCTTAGATASGTCTGCAGRCTTTTCATGGAGYCATTCCACTTGTTGTGCTTTACTTTATCCAATTGAATCCTTGCTTTAGCAGCAACATGTGGATCTTGGTATTCTGAGATAAGGAGTTCTTCGAGGGAGGCAACCGGGGTGGACCTTAGCCATTTGGCTAGTGCAGACTTTTGAAACCCAGCCCGCGTTGCTTGGACTTCTAGGAAGCCCCGTACTACTGGCTCGACATTCATACCCATGATAATTGCCTGGGTCTCAGCTTGAGTCCCCAGGATGTCAAAGTAGGCGGAGCCGATCCAGGTTCGATGTCTTCCTTGCCATCGTACTTGGACGGTATTTGAACCGCCTTCCGGTCCACATAGGGACTGGCGTGGCTGGGACCAGCAGCAGCTGGTTCCGGTCTTGGGGCTGCAGCAATTGCAGAAGTTCCAGCCTCATTGCTTGTTACAGCAACAGTGGAATCTGCACCTGCTGCAGGTCCTGAGGAGGTTACCATCACACTCGAAGAAGAGGTATTTATAAATGAGTCTTGCGGCTTCTTGCCTCTTGTGAATTCTTAATGCTGTTTTTAAACTTTTTAAGTTTTTATTAATTCAATATTTTTTTCATGACATCCGTGCCACACCATAGCTTTCACCTCCAATTGCTATCCATGGTTATCACTTTCTTTTTCTTTTTCTTTTTCTTTCTCTTTTCTTTTTCTTTTTCTTTTTCTTTTTCTTCTTCTTTTTCTTTTTCTATTTCTATTTGTGACAATGTATGTCAAAAAAGTCAAATGCAAAAGAAATGCAAGAACACTCAGAACAGAGCATAAAGTCTCAGGTCATGAGGGCTTGTTCAAAGTTGTGCAAAAATAAACACATATTTATTATTTACATTATCACTTTCTTTTTCTTTTTCTTTTTCTTTTTCTTTTTCTTTCTCTTTTTCTTTTTCTATTTCTATTTGTGACAATGTATGTCAAAAAAGTCGGATGCAAAAGAAATGCAAGAACACTCAGAACAGAGCATAAAGTCTCAGGTCATGAGGGCTTGTTCAAAGTTGTGTAAAAATAAACAAATATTTACATTATATTTTTATTTTTAAATCAATAATTTTATTAAATATTAAATAATAAATAAAAGAAAAGAAAATGAAATATAGCAGTATTAGCAACATACCCTGTGTTTGCCCCATACATCTCCTGCAAACGCTGTTCTGAAAAACACCAAAGATCTCCGGCAGTCTGCACTCCTAAATCAGCCTCAATGGATCGCCCCAGCTTGCCACCAAGTTGCTTCCTGAGGGATGCCCAAACAGGTTTGACCAGAAACAAAAAAAAAAAAAAAAAAAGAAATGGGAAGTTTCTCCGTTAAAAAAACAAAAAAAAAAAAACAGTTTAACTTTTAACTCTTAAGACTCAACGCCTACGAATGAATACAAGTTTGAGCATTGAAGCAATCACCAAGACCCACCTCACCTACCAAAAATGAAAACTTTATAAAAGTGAGATCCGACCTCCCCCCCCACACACCCTCCCTTTCTCCCATCAGACCTCATTCATTGTACACCCAACATATGAAGCTGACAGGACTTGGGGGCGCAAATGGGGTGAGGAACCCACAGTAGCAGTTGTGTTATTTGCACCGCCCCCTCTCTTGTCTTTTCATAGCACCATGCATTTATGGAGCAAGCACATGGTTGTGTGTGCCGAAAAGAGAGAGAGAGAGAGAGAGAGAGAGAGAGAGAGAGAGAGAGAGAGAAAGAGAGAGAGAGAGAGAGAGAGAGAGAGAAAGGGATCCGGTTCAGTGTGAATCTCTCCAGTGCTTACATAGCCAATTCAATTTGGACCATTTCTAGATTTATGCGTGTCATCCTTGCGCAGGGGCCGATACTGTCTGACATGTCAGATCAGACTGGCCCTAATCTGGACAGTCTTCTATTTTGTAATGACCCGCCATAACACAGACTGAGAACACTGCTGATTGTCCTTCGGGACATCCGTTAAAATTGGAACGATACACAGAAGATTAGCATGGCCCCTGCGCAAGAATGACACGCATAAATCGAGAAATGGTCCAAATTAAAAAAAAAAAAAAAAAAAAAAAAAAAAAGGAGAACACTGCTGATTTCTGAAGTTCTGCCGATGGAATGGATGCCTTGCTGAGATTCCCGCATTCTGCTGAGTTTTCTAAGTCTGTACGTGTGCGTGCTTGTTGACCTGCGTGCCTGTCTGAGTGCTTGTCGGCATGAGTGTGTGTGTGACCCGCAAGGGTGCTTGCTCGTTTGGCAGGCACGTAGGGCTGGTACTTACCTGTGGCCGTGGCATTGAGGGTTGATGTTACGGACTCAGCCAGGGCTCAATCCCTGGTCCGCGGGGTACCACCCGCCAGCCTGCTATTTTATTTTATTTTTATTTCCTGCTCTTCGGTTTCTGACTGTTGCAGCCCTCTGCAGTTGGCTCCCGTTTTCAAATCCCTCCTTTGGCACTTTCGGATTTCGACACCTGGTGCCATCCGACATTCTGGCGCCCAAACTCAGACTTTCGATTCTCAGTTCAGTCCTGAGGCAATGGCACTTCTGCCCTCCGGACTGAACTTGAGTCCAGTACTTAAGACCGGCCTCAAGCCCAGTACGGGCATTCAGTCTTCGGCCCCTGTGCTTGTGCTTCAGTGTGACTTGCCGCGACTTTGTGTTTGGAATCCAAGATCGCAACTTTGCGACTTCGGGAATTTGCCACGTCGTGTCTGCATCCATCGTGTCGAGTCGAGTCCGTGTCTGAGTCGAGTGAGTGTGTGTGTGTGCTCTCACTCTCTCTCTCTCTTCTCTCTCTCCCTCAGCCTCGCCACTCTCTCTGCCTCGTCACAGTTGCAGCAGGGGAAAACACTCAAGTGGCAAAGCCAGAGGCCCGCGGCACTTCGAGCAGCGGAAAAACACTCAAGTAGCAGGTAGGCCGGTACCGCACCCAGTAGCAGGAGATGTGCCGGGTACTCGAGGCCAGGACCGGTTGCTTGGGAGGCCGAGCGGCCTGGAAGTCACCGCCCAGGAGGCAAGTAGGCCGCTATATCAGGAGGCCGAGGGAAGAGCACGGCCTCATTCTTCAGTGTGCAAGTTTGGCGACACGCTGCTGGAGCGCTGGCTGGAGTAGCGCTGGGTACTACAGCGCTGCTGGGAGGGAGAAGGGGACTAAGGAGGAGAGTGGCGAGGTACCTACCTGGCTATGGTGGACACCATCTTCATCACCTTGTTAGGCATTGCATCTGGAAGGCCCCCGTTGGGGTAGTGCCGCACCAAGGAAGCTCGGGGCAGAGACAGGCATGGTGGCCTATTGAGCAGCGGCATAGCTGCTTTGCGTTGTCTTTTGCACAGGAAGGCAGCGACATAGCTGCTTTGGGTTGTCCTTTGGACAGGAGGGTTGAGCCCTCAATAGTTCGCCATAGCCTAGGCCTACATGTGAGAGGAAGGAGAAGGGTGGCCATGGCTACGGTGGACCTCATGTTGTGCCTGCAGCACAAGAGGGATTCGGACATTGATTCTGGTTCAGCCATTCAACATTATTATTGTTATTTCTTGTTTAAATAAGAGAGGAGGAGACAAGGAGGAGGAGATTGGTTGGCGAAGAAGAAGAGCATTATCTTTGGTCTATGCTGGAGTACATCATCTTCTTCTTCTTTCTTTCTTCTTCCTCTTCTTCTTTCCCTTTCTCTCCTCTCAAGGCGACAAACAGACAGAACTGGCAACGAGAAGGGAACCAAAACAAAAACAAAAAAAGAAAAAAAAGGAAAAAAAAAGGAAAAAAAAAAGGAAAAGAAAAGGAAAAAAAAAAAGAAAAGAAAGAAGAAGTAGAAGAAGAAGAAAGCTCCGCCAGCAACGTCAGTAGAACAGGAACCCGACTGATGCTCCCCAAAATGGATACTGAGCCGGAGCCATAAGGCAGTGTTTTAAATTGAAAAAAAAAAAAAAAGAGCTTCGCTGCCAGCAGCAAATTCCAGTACTATCATCACCTGTGGCAGACCCAAAAGTCCCCCGGAGCGATACACACTCTCCCAACCACCCTTTTCCTCCCCCCTGATACACTGTCCCAAACCCCCTCCTCCCTCCCCACCTACACACTCCCCCAACTACCCTCCCTCGCCCGCCCGCCCGCCCCCCTTCCCCCCCTTCATTCCATTCTTTCAATGTTTCCTACATGGCATAAATAAAGGGGCCACGACTGCTTGTTCTCTCTCTTTCTTCTCTCTGTCCTTCCTCTTCTCATCCTTGCCGGTGATAAGCAACTGCAGGTACAGCGCTACTGTGGCAAGGTGATCATCAAGGACCATGGCTCGTAACGAGCCTAGTGGGCTGGGCCAGTCATGTTGGTGGGGTCAGTCTAGTGGGCTGGGTCTGTCTAGTGGGTTGTCCAGTCTAGTGGGTGGGGCCAGTCTAGTGGGCTGGGGAAGTCAAGTGGGTGAGGCCAGTCTGGTGGGATGGGCCAGTCAAGTGAGTGGGGCCAGTGTAGTGGGATGGGCTAGTTTAGTGGGCTGGGTCCAGTCTAGTGTTAGGGTTTTAACTTTCAAGGTGTTAAGGAACTTGGGGTTTTATAGTTTTTTTTGTGTGCGTCTCTGTTTGTTCTGTTTGGTCTGTTTTTTTTTTTTTTTTTTTTAAATTTGCACTATGGGCCCATATAGTTTGCTTTCGAAATTTTCACTGAATTTTGCACCGAAACTGTCAGCAAAAACGGTGAATTTTCGGCCCTCCGTTAACCGCGTGTCGGTCCCGGGAACTCGTCTGATAGAGATCGGACTTTTGTTCCCGAAAAGTCATCCCAGTCTGAGGACAAAGCTGAACTTTGCTGGCCATTTGCCACTTTGCCCCTGTGTGTTCACATGGCCCCATGTGAGACTACAGTCAAGGGAATGTTGAGTACTTACACGTCCTTCAGCGGAAGCGACTTGAGAAGAGGCAACACTCCAGACGAGGGGACCAACGTTTGCTGCGCAGGCTTGTGCATCCCACTGGCAAGCTTCGCTAGCATCTGCCACACAAGCAGTACACACGTCAGTTCGTCACTGCGAAGAAAATGAACGTGAGACGAGGGCGCATATTGAGGCAGAGAAAGGTGAATGAAGGAGAACAGGGATAAGCAACAGGAAGTGGAAGCCGAAGAGGAGGGAGAGAAGGGAGGAAGAGAGAGAAGGAACAGTCCGAAGAGGAAGAGGAGGAGGAGAGGAAGAAAAGGGATGAAGAAGGGTGAGAGGAAAAAGAAGAGCATGACAGAGGGTACAGGGGGACTAAGGACAGACAAGGCAAGAACTGAACGGAGCTTAGGCCAAGGAGCCTTGCTCACACACAAACACACACACACAAGTGGATGAAAAATAAAGGACATGGAGGCCGCAGATAAAGGCGAGAGAAAAAAGGAGAAGGGGAGAGCAAGGACAGGAAACAAGAAGAAGTTTAAACAACCAGTACTTCGCCCCTCAGCTATTGGCCGCAGGAAAAAATAGAGTACAAACATTTCTAGTCGGATGAATTTGGGCGCTCCTGTAGTGGCCCGTACGTTTCCTAAAATCGTGGCGCGTTAACGGGGGCACGACTTTAGGAAGTACTGGTGGTTTATGAAACGACGGGAAAAGACGGGAAGAGACGAGAAAGAACGAAGGCCGACAACAAGGGATGAGGAGGCACAAGCAAGGACAAGGAAGGAGCGAAGAACGATCTGCACCCTAGACCGTGAAAAGTCCAGTAGCCGAAAGCAACACAAGCTTTGGCTCTTTATGTGGGGTGGGCAGCCCCCCTTGCTGTTATATTGGAAATGAAAGCCTGTTTCTCAATGAAAAAAAACAAATGGTAAAAAAAACAAGCTTTAGCTCTAACCCAAGTAGCATGGGACATGCAATCAGACTCGACTCACACACACTCTTCATGCATGTAAGCAGCGATACAGCAAACTGGCGCCATGCGCCCACACAGAACTCAAAGATATGGCTCCCAAGTAACAGTTCGCTTCCTCTGACTATGGCGACTGTGCGCCTCAAACAAACTCACTGTTCACACTCTGGATCACCCTGGATGTCCCACACGCAACACTCTGCACTTACACGCGACACACACACATGCACTACTACAGCTATGGCAGCGCTAGCTGCCACTACCCTATCGCTACACTACACTTCTCGGCCCACTTCGTCTTCGGGCACACTGCAGACCTCCTCGCACAAGCTGCTGAGGCAGCGCTTCCGCATGGCATCCGCAGGAATGAAAAAAATGGCTGGACGCAGCCTCTTGATTTATACTTCTGCGCTGCGTTGGTCTGCCCTGTGTCCCTTGGCCCTTGGTGCACACAGTCCCAGACGGTACTTGCTGGACAGGACCGGACTGCCTAACTGGGACTGTTGACTCAGCAGGGTGGCCTACCACCACTTGACCACTTGCCTCTGTTCAACGCAGGCTCACTCCGAAAGGCCACTTCTGGAAACCTCTGACTTGGCCTTTCGGTACTGTAGCAGCTACGACTTTGCCCCTTCAGGTAAGTAGCAGCTACGACCTTGACCTTTCAGACAACCTACAACTACGACTTCGGAACTGTCTAGACTCCTACCCTACAAGTCTACAGTTCGATTCCCTTCTAAGCTGTGACCTACGACAATCCACCTACCACTGGCGTTTCGACAGGTCGCAGGTTCAAATCTACGGGTTGACATCAATACTCTACACAGGTAAGATGGGGAACTAGTGATCGAGCCCTGGGATCTGCATTCGCTACTGCGAACTGGTGAATACCGTTTCAGACACGTGAAATCCTGAGAAAAGAAAGGGGATGACGAGGAAAGCTGATGGAGAGAGGAAACGAGAAGTGGAAGACACGACAGGGAACTGAGGGACGTGCGCAAAAGGAGTCTAGATCAGTGGGGACAAGCATGAACCGTTGAAAAACTTGAAATACTGACCCGAGTTTGAATCCAGATGATGGAACTCGATGCGTACAACCAAATATTGAAAAAAAAAAAAAAAAAGGATGGGAAAGGACACGCTAATCTTCTCTGTATTGTAACTATCGGTCCAATTTGTTGATGCATATCATCCTTGCACAAGGGCCATGTTAATCTTCTGTGACTTCTGTGAATCATTCCAGTTTTAACGGATGTCCCAAAGGAGTTGAAAGGGCTAATCATCTGGTCTTTATGCTGACCAGCAATGAAAAACATATGGGACTGCTAGGGTACGAAAAAGGCCTGGGACCACTTGCCCGGCCGGGTCAGAAAAAGAAAAGAAAAAAAAAAAAAAAAAAAAAAAAAAAAAAAAAAAAAAAAGGGGAAATTTCATTTTTTAGTTTTATATTCGGCAAAGAATTTTCAATGTGACCCTGAGGCAAAAGTTGTTCAGTTTATTTTTCTGCATGACATAATCTTTTTTTCAGATTTTTAAATCATTTTTTTGCTAGGTTACCAGATGTCCAATCGGAGACATTTCCCGGAGACGTCGCCGTCAAGCGTCCAGTGAGGGAGTTGTCCGGGATCCCGGACAACTCATTTCTCCAAAAAAAAAAAAAAAAAAAAAAAAAAATTGTGTGTGGGGGGGGGGGGGGGGGGGCTGCACTACATGAGCTGAGCCCCCAAAAACAAATTCAGCTCATTTAGAGCGAAAAAAAATAAAATGCAAAACATGGGGAAAGGGGGTTGGGAGGGTTGGGGGGTAAAGGGGCGGGGGGTTGGGGTGCATAATTGGAAACTGACCCCAATAAGATAGACCCGTTTGGTTGAAATTGACACAGACATCTTTGGCGACTTTTATCTTTTTTTTGTACAGGCTCAGATGACCCAAACGTTTTGTGGCATATACCCCATGTGAGGGGGAACTCACAGAAAAAAAAATCATTCTTTTTTTTAATTTTTTTTAAGGTGCGAGGCTACGCCCGCTTAGCCCCTACGGGGCCCTATCTGCAACAAGGTCGGCCGCCCTAAGTGAAGGCAGGCACAACAGGCCCTTCGGGCCTCATTCTTCAGGGTACCCCGCAACGGGGAAATTCAGACAGTTGCGTTGCGCCAGTTGGTTGAATGAATCCAGGCCCTGGGCCGCCTGTGTAATGAATGTGAAGCAGGCCCTGGGCTGGATACGGGTACCGGGCCAAACACAGCCCGAAAGCAGTTGGGCGCATGCAACCACTTCAGGCCCAAGGCCTGCTCTCTTCGTGACTGGGCCTGTGCCTACCGGGGCCTACCGGAAGCTTCTTGGACTGGACGCAGGCAGGCCACTTGGATATAGGGAAGGGCCTGCCTCCTCATTCGGTATTCGGGTGCTGGCTGCATGCTGCGTGAGCGCTGCTGCGCAATGCGCTGGCTGGCTGGCACTCACGCTCTCACAGGCGAGTAGGAGGGAGCACGCAGCCATAGCCAAGCTGCGCTGCTGTATGCTAGGTGAAGCGCAGGGTGGTCCTTGGGGTGCTAGYGGCATCTGTGCGGTGTGGATCGGGGTTGTGAGTGTTACGAGAGACATACCTGGTGCTGAAGCGTGCGACATTGGTCGCCATATGCTCGTACTTCGGGAACGCTGTTGATGTCTGCTTCGTAGTATAGGTTAGATAGGATCTGCCACCTGTAGTCTGGGCGCCGAGCGCCAATAGGATATCCACTCTGGTTCGTAGTTGATGATGATGGGACTACTTCAGCATTGTCAATTTTGAACTCTTGGTGTGTTCTTATTTGGTGTATCTCGTGATGCCAGTCTGCTGTGGTTCGAGGTCAAGACTATCTGGGCTCATATGTATGATGCTGTTTGATTGCTGAAGTTCGCTAATGCTCATCTTCCTTGCAAAGGGTTGGGCATACTGTCTCTGGCGGACGTCTCCCCAGTTGAGGGGTCCCGGACGTCTCCCCAGTTTTTTGGGTTTTTTACTAGGTTACCAATGGTCCGGAGACCGGACGTCTCCCCCGGACGTCAGGTAACCCCGTCGTCCGGATTTCCGGACGACGGCATTTTGGCACTAAAAAAATAAATTTAAAAAAAACACAGTGTTGCGCATGCCCTAGAGACCCCCTACAAACATTTTCAGATTTTTCTGAGCATTTGGTGATAGGGTGGTATTTGGGGTGGCGGGGGGGGGTAGATGGGTTTTGGTGGGGATAGGAGGGGTATAGGTGGGGATTAGAATCTTTGAAGATTTTTATTATTTATTCTACTGGCCCAAATGATCCAAAAATTTGGTGGCATACACCTAATGCAAGGTGGAAGCCACATTATTTTTTTCATTTTTTTTTTATTTTTATTTTTTTGCGCTAGGTCGGACATACCCTGTCCGGTCCGACGTCCGACCAGACGTCCGGTCGGACATCCCGGACGGCCAGGGGAGTCTCGGACGTCCGATCCAACAACCTAGTTTTTTCAACTTCTTGTTTTTTTTTCCTGGGACCTTCCCTGGTCCGACATCGATAGCCCGTTAGCTTCCCAGAGATGCTACACGGGTCAACGGTGGAGGTGGGAATGCGGATAGATGGGTATGATGCAGGGAGAGGTTTAGCGGATAGCCCCCTGATGATGACTGCGTGGCGGCAGTCGAAACCGGTTGGGGTAGCCATACCCACCGGCTTTGCAATCTTTCCTGTAATTTTGCTGTACTCTAATGTACTGTGATGACTCGGCTTTGTCTTCGTCTTTGACTGCTTACCAGTGTTTGCTGCTACTCTAGTCATCGATGTTGTCTGCTGAAGTTCTCTCACCTGTCAGTCAGTCAACCTTCCCTGGTCCTTGCACAGGCCGGCCGCCCGGAAAAACAAGGTGACCCATGTGGCCCGGCTGTAGCCTAGGCACTGATCCATAATTTTCGTTTTCACACGTGTGGCCCGGCTGTAGCCTACCGTCTTCATCCAAAAATAATGCCCGGGCGTTGTGTACGAATATAACGCCTCAGCAAATTTGAGGTAACTTTGGTGAGGCCCCAAAATTCCGGGAAAAAAAAAAACAAATCAAAAAAATCTGTAAAAAAAAAAACTATGTTCTCCAGGATTGCAATGCGACCAACTTTTGGCTGAGGGTCACTTCAGAAATCATTATAAACTCGGAAATAAAAAAATAAAAACAAAAAATCAAGCCAAAATATACCCCTTGGAAGTCAAAACCCCACTCAACCCTCTTCAAAACCCATGTATACCCCCTTCCCCGCCCTTTAAAACCCATGTATACTACCTCTTCAAGGCACTCTGCCCATGGAACATACAACTATAACGCCCGGGCGTTCTCTTCGAAGGGGCGTTCTATTTGAAAAAAAATGATTAAAAACGAAAATCTCATCTTTTTAGGGGTAGTTGAATATAACGCCCGGGCGTTATTTTCGGGTGAAGACGGTAGGCACTGATCCATAATAATCGCTTTCACACGTCTTGTACATATCACATACTCTTTCTTCTTTTTTTTTTCCCCTTGTCATAACCTTGTGTTCCTCCTGAGTCCTGACCTTGTTATGAGCGATCCCTGCTGAGCAGGTGAACTGTGTTTCTGTCAGAATGACCTGACGAAGCTCGGCAATGATGACTGCTGCACAAGCCAACATACGGTCTCCGATCTCTTCTGCATTGCACAGCCACAGGGCTGCAGCGTTCTCCTCTCCCCCTTCTGGCTACACAGATCTCCAACACAATACAGAAACAAAAAGGACACGTACGTCAAGTAGAGAGATTTGAAGCGACCTTAGCTTCTTGATCTGTGTTTCATTTTCTCTAATTCGATGATTTGATCTGCTTTACTTTGTGTTTTCTTTGCTCTCTGTTCGATTTCGCTTTGTCTTTGCTTCTTCTGCTTGTGTCTGTTTTCGCTTCATGTTTGCATTGCTTTCCATAGCTGGTCAGCGGATGAACAGGTGGTTGGGGTGGTTGCGGTGGTTGGGGTGGTTGGGGTGGTTGGGGTGGCTGGCGTGGGTAGGGGTGGGTAGGGGTGCGTAGGGGTGGGTAGGGGTGGCGTGGGTGGGGCAGGTAAGGGCAGTTGCAGAATTTTAGAGGAACCCGTTGGGTCGTTAAGGATTTTCCCGCAAATGTCAGCAAGCCTAGGTCTAGTAAGCTAGCAGATAGGTGTCATGATAGTACCGGCCTGAACGTAGGCTGATATCAGGTCAGGTACGGGTCTGCAAGGGAAAACAGTTTGCATGTTCCTGCCCACATGCAAGGGAACTGACCGGAAGCATAGCATGACAACGGCCTGAATTCAGACTGATATGAGGCTGCTGCTCCTCCTGCTGCTGCTGCTGCTGTTCATATCTATTTTTTTTTTGAATGAGAGCAGGACATTAGATGATGGATGATAATGATGGCAAGAGGAGGGAGATGACACTGGTGCCTTCTTCTTCTTCTTCTTCTTCTTCTTCTTCTTCTTCTTCTTCTTCTTCTTCTTCTTCTTCTTCTTCTTCTTCTTCTTCTTCTTCTGCTCACTCCACTTCTTCTTGAGTTGTAATGAATGGCATTGTCTGGAAGTTCAGGCTAACATCATGAATTGAACAGGGTCACAGCAATCACAAAAGGTTGTAACTAATTCTCCAAACTCTCTCTAGACCCTCATTTATTCATCCATTTGTATGACCACTACCTTTTATGACTGGCCCAGTTACCAAAAAGGGATGCTTGCCCTTTTTTCTTTTTCAGTTGGCCTGTTGGATTGACAACACAGCAGCCATACCTTCTTTGTGTCTCTCTGCAGCCGTTAATTGTCTTTCTGTTATACCGTTCAGAATTCAATGGATGCGCACATTTGAAACCGACAAGCTGCATCAGCAGCAGGAGGGGGAGGAGGAGGAGAGAAGGAGGAGGAGGAAGAAGTACAGGAAGAAGAAGTTGAGGAAGGAGGAGGATGACGGGGAGGAGGAGAAGAAGAAGAACACGAAGAGCAGACAAGCTGCTTCTGGGCACAGTGCGAGACTACCTGGCCGACGATGTGTGTCTTCTGTGCCTCAAGTGGAAAATCATCTAGGTTGCTACTCAACCGAGCACGGACAGTGTCTGTCAAGTCAATATACGCCTCGTCGATGGACGCTCGCTCACATGGGCCTGCCCTGGACAAGATCGCAACTACCTGCCGACAAGGCGACCGCACATCACGCACTATCATCATCATGAACACAAAAGTTGCATGCGGATCATGCAGTCAAGGAGCCCAGACAGCGTTTTTATTACTTGGCATGACTATTACCATAGTAACAACAAGTTAACTACAACTGCAAGAAAAATACCACGGTAACAATATAGTTCACTACACCTACAAGAAGTTACCACAGTCAGAACATACTTAACTGGACCTCCAAGAAAGTTACGACAAGGACAGGGAGGTGTAGTTAATAACTACACCTGGAAGAGAGTTACCCTGCGGTGGCAGCATAGTTAACTACAACCGCAAGAACGTTACCACAGTCATTGCAGGAAAGTTACCACAGTTTCACTACCACTGCCAAAAAGTGAGAAGAACAACATAGTTAATAACTACACCTGCAAGAGAGTTACCAAGTTACCACAGTCACTGCAGGAAAGTTACCACAGCAGCAAAACACAGTTTCACACCTACAGCCAAAAAGGGACAAGACCAGCATAGTTAATAACTACACCTTGAAGAGAGTTACGCTGCAGTGGCAACATAGTTACCTACACCCGCAAGAAAGTTACCACAGTCACTGCAGGAAAGTTACCACAGTAACAACACAGTTTCACACCTACAACCAAAAAAGTGAGAAGACCAGCATAGTTCATAACTACACCTGCAAGAGAGCTACCCTGCAGTGGCAACGTAGTTAAATACACCTGCAAGAAAGTTACCACAGTAACAACACAGTTTCACTACTACTGCCAAAGAGTGACAAGACCAGCAGGCAACAATCAAAAACAGATAACACAATGAAGTCAGACCTACGAGGGTTTACCCAGCCCATGTGGCTGAGTGATACACCCTTATAACTGTTGAAGAACCTGGGGCTGTCAGTTCGATGACGATACCTCAAGGGCGTTGCCCTTTTTTGCAAAAAAAAAAAGAAGAAAAAAGTCATAGTGAATCATAGTGATAACTTTGCAATGGGGATAACCACGGCGGCAACCATGGAACGATAATGCACCAGACAGACAAGATAGCACAACAGACAACCATCTTCACGCGAACAGAGCAGACAGTCACTGCATCTAGACTGAAAATTGTCCCAAATGGCAAATACAGCTATAACGACCATGCATTCTACTCATGTGAAGACGGTAGCCAGGTTGTTATACCCCACACCCCAGTCAAATGTCATCGGCGTCAACTGGCCTAGCTAAGTTGGTACACCCAATGACCTGCTAAAATAGAGACCCAAGTTTGAATCCAAATGCAATCAGCTGGACACAGTCAAGTAGTTCGGAATCACCTGGGGTTGGTCAGTTCAATGCTCTCAAGGCCGTCGCCATTTTTTTGGGGGGAAAAAAAACA